TAGCCAAACAGGGAGGCATCTGTGAAGTCATTAACAAAACCTGCTGTATATAAGTAAACACATCAGGTCAGATTGAATGTAATATCCAAAAAATCTACGAATGGGTGTCTTAGCTTCACAGGTATAACTAAGGAACAGATCTTGATGTCCTTTGGAACACGATTAAAAAGGCTCTCCCTTCTTTCACCTGAGTATTTCTACTCCTTGGTCCTTAAGTAACTATTCTTTTTTTATTATTTGGTCCACGCCTTTTTAATCTTCTTGTTAAATTTATAATCTTCTAGATTATAACAGTTTCATGTAAAAATGATTATAATCCAAGAATTCCAGACCATACCTCAACATCCAGGGGATATAGGGCTTGGGCCCTTAGATCAGGCAGGAAGAGATCTTCAATCCCAGGCTAGGCAGGGTCTATATCTATACCAAATCTCAGCCTGAAGCAACTACAGAAGAAACACCAACCCTTCATCTTCCCATATGATTATGGGATTGAAATCTCTCAGGGGGAATGTATGAGTCAGAAAATTTAGATTAGGGAACAAAGGCCTCAAGGTCTATCCCTCCCCTTTTCCGTTCTGGATGTGACTTTTGCTGACCACCTGTTCCCCGCGTCCCCCTCCCAATTTCCTGTATTCAAGATAAACAAAAAACATTCTCAAGCAGATTCTGCAGCCTTATCGACAGACAAATGATCAACAGGTCATTATAATATCATTAGAATAAATTTACATTGCAGTTTTAGGACCACTCCTCTTCCTGAATCACCATGACAGTTCCAAGAGGACCAAAAAGAAATCATTATCCAGAGGGGAAGGAGGAGGACAAGCTGCATCAGCAGTCACCCCACCGGCATCAGAAGCTGAAGTCCAACCTATGCCACCCTCACCCGCATTTATAAAAACCTTCTACCCAGACCCCATTGGGGTATCTAGTCCTTTGAGTTCACCAGTGCTCCCTTCTCAAGTGGGTACTTTTAATAAATTTACTGTGCTTTGCTGAATCTTGCTGTCCTGTCCTCAAATTCTTTCTTGTGTGGTGACAAGGATCTGGACCCAACTATGAAGTTGCAGCCTCCCTGGTGCCCTCCGGCATGACATTCACATAACTTTTATTACAGTATATTGTTATAATTATTCTATTTTATTATTAGTTATTGTTGGTAATCTGTTACTGTGCCTAATGTATAATTAAACTTTACCATAATATGTATGCATAGGAAAAAAACATAGTATTTATAGGATTCAGCACCATTGCCAGTTTCAGGCATCCTGGGAGACTTGGAAAGTGCCTTCTGTGGATACATTTCACAAAAATATACTTGGTTATTAAAAAATAAATACAGGCCTGGACTGTGAGCTCAGTGGTTAGAGCATTGGCCCATGCAAAGAAGGGTCTTGGGTTCAATTCCCAGCCAAGAGCACATTCCTGGGTTGCAGATTCGATCCCCTGCCCCGGTTGGGGTGGTGCATGCAGGAGGTAACCAATCTATGTGTCTCTCACATTGATGTTTCTCTCTCTCTCTCTCTCTGTCTCTGTCTCTCCCTCCCCCCTCACTTCCACTCACTCTAAAAATCAATGGAAAAAATATCCCAGTGTGAGGATTAACAAAAAATAAATAAAAACAAAATAAATAAATAAATACAAATAATACATTAAAAATAGTCAATGTCAATTCACTTTTTAAAACTATGTAGACAAAGTAAAATTTTTGTATAACCAGGAGTTAATACTGTGCACGTTAAAAATTTTATGTACAAGTATCCTTCTTTAATTTTTACTTAAAATAATCTTTAAAACCTTGCATATCAGCTACATAAAATTAAATAAATACACAATTCTTGGTTGGCTATAGAAACTAGGCAACTTTCACATGAAGTATATAACCTAAGGCAACCTTTAGCATAATTGATTATAGTATTTCAGCAGATTTTTTGGAAAAGGAAGTCTTCTAGTATTCCTAAACTGTAGGGAGCGGCTATAGGGTTAAGCCTCGGACTGACCTGTTGGCAAAGCCACAAACAAGTCCCAGCTTAGAGGGCACAGCCCTCTTAGCATAATTAGGCTTGACCTTATGATGCTCCCTAGATCTTATCTGGGTAGCTAATGGGCTGAGGGAGATGCAGCAAGTGAAACTCACAAGAACACTGTAACTATGGTGACCACTACCTTGTTTACCTCTGGCTATAAAATAAAGGCTCAGCTTGCTGTCTGGATCTCTCTCTGTGGCCTCAGCCAGGCACAGGAAGATCCACCTAGACCAGTGGTCGGCAAACTGCGGCCCCTTGAGAGTGGCTCTTCCACAAAATACCACATGTGGGCGCGCACGTACAGTGCGATTGAAACTTCGTGGCCACACTCAAGGGGCCAAAGAGCCGCATGTGGCTCGAGAGCCGCAGTTTGCCAACCACTGACCTAGACCCAGCTTATTCTCTTTGTCTTTTCTTCATCCTTCACCGCCGAACCCTTGGCTGAGCTGGCTCGGCACACTAAACTATTAGTAAAATTTGATTAATCAGCTCAATGAATTCTGACAAACTAAAAATTGTCAACAAATTCTCCAATTACAAACACAACTTTTGTAATTTGTTCTTTTTCATTAACAACTTGCATAATCTATGGAACATTTTAATAACTGTTTCAAGTAATTCAGTTATATATTAAACTTATTATTCCAATTAAGTAAGAGAAAAGAACCATGGGTAAAGTAAAGCAAGTATTATTTTTATTTTACTATATGATTTATTTTTGTTTCTTATATTCTGAATATTCACTCCAAATAAAATAATGAAGCCACACTGTGATGACCTAAGGAGTTAGGAAATTTCTCTGGTGCTTTAAAAATGACCATATTCATGAACTATCTACATTCCATTTTTTGGACTCTATCCTAGAAAATGTTTGATCAAAATACAGAAAATTATTTATGCATAAAATTGTTCATTGCATTGTTGTTACTTATAGTAGCAGGAAACTGGCAATAAATATCCTATGATCAAAAACAGTTATAAACAACTGTACATCTTCAGTATTATGTAGCCATTAATATTACATTTACTTCAATTTTTGCTATCATGAGATGCCCACAATGTAGCTATATGTAAAAAAAGCAAACAGAAAAGTAAATGCTAGTTCAATTCAAACATGCTAAAACTCTATGTATGAAGGAAAAACAAAGCAAACATTAAGTGTAGTTAGTTCTGAATAATATAACTATGGGTAATTTTGTTTTTCAATAATGAGCATGTATATATATATATTTTTAATATATATATATTTTATTGATTTTTTACAGAGAGGAAGGGAGAGAGATAGAGAGTTAGAAACATCGATGAGAGAGAAACATCGATCAGCTGCCTCCTGCACATCTCCCACTGGGGATGTGCCCGCAACCAAGGTACATGCCCTTGACCGGAATCGAACCCGGGACCCTTCAGTCCGCAGGCCGACACTCTATCCACTGAGCCAAACCGGTATCGGCAAGCATGTATATTTTTATACATATAATTTATTTTCTTTATTGATATTAAATAGAGGAATGGAGAGAGAGAGAAACATCCATGTGAGAGAGAACTATTGATCGGTTGTCTCCCACACCCACCCTGACCAGGGATCAAACCCGCAACCTAGGCATGTGTCCTGACTGGGAATCGAACCCACAACCTTTTGGTATATAGGACCACACTCCAACCAACTGAGCCACACTGGTCAAGGCTATACATATTACTTTTATAACTGGAATAAAAGAGGAGATATCAGTGGTTTTCATAATTTATACTAATATAGGAAAATGCCTATGTTTTCATGCAAATTTTTAAAAAGGAGTCTATAAAATCCTGTGTGTGTGTGTGTGTGTGTATGTGTGTTTGTATGTTGGGAGAAAAACACCTATGTAGTAAAAGACAAGGAATACAGTAAAACATCAGGTGATATGTCTAATACAGGTAATCTTTGAGTGACAGGATTTATGTCATTCATTTTTTTCTCCAATCTTCTATATTTTTCAAATTTTCTACAATGATCAGTATCTCCTATATTTTTGTTTCATATAGAGTAAGTAAATGGTTTCTATTTTCTTTCTAGGTCTCAAATTCATAGACTACCATTTTTCTCTAGAGGAAAATATAATTTGAAAATGACTATATGAAAAACTTCAGTAGAATAGAATGAGATTTCCTAAATTAGTCAAAAGTCCTATAAATGCTAATATTTGATTTTTATACACTAACAAGTAAATTAGCTCCCACATCCTTCATCCTTTTTTCACACACTAATTCAAGATGAGTTTATAAAGAGGTTTTTTGTTTTTTCTCTCTTACAATTTGGAAACTATAACTCAAAATGATGTAAAAAGATTTTAAATATTCGTTTTAGTACTAATTTCACTTTTTAAATAACTACACCATGAAATATTAAGTAGATATAGATTTGTTGACTTGAGTGGATATTAATAAAAGAGAAAATCCAGGTTACAAAACAGCACAGAGTATGACACCATTTTATCCCAAACTATAAAGAGATATACACATATTTGCATAAGAAAATGGAGAGACAAGCACTATAAGTTAGTTAATGCTTATCTCTGGGTGGAGACAGGTTCTATGATTTTAACTTTTCTCTATACCTATTTCTATTTCCTAATTTTTCTAGAAAATATTTACATAATTTAATTAAAAGAATTAAAGTAACTCTACATGACATTTCAAATTTAGAAAATTAAAAACAACTGATTTTAGCTACTTCAAGTGATCTAAGTATTTTTAACTCACACATTCAGATAATTAGTACTGAAGAATACAGTATGTGCCAATCATCCTAGTTTGTTTCCATAACATTTCTCATGATTTCCCCCTCTGCCACTATTATTATTATTGAAGGAAGTTAGCAGAGTCTTCAGTAAAAGCACTTTTCTAACCTTTAAAAAAGCTTACTTAATTTAAAGTTTTCATGAACCAGCTGCTTAACAAAAACCAATGTAAAAAACAGATTTTTTTTTTTACCTCAGTATCATAGGTTGGATTGTAGTCATTGTAACCAGAATAAAGGTCATCTTCATCTGTCTCTGGGGCCAGGTGTACATTCTGCATCATCTGTACCTAGGAAAAATCAGCAGTGTAAATATGCTCTTGGGATAAGAAATAATTCTGAATTGAAATAAAGTATAACTATTTAAAAACTTTTCTGGTCAAATTTACTTCTACACATTTTTCCAGCCTTAAAACTATTTTCATGTCAAATTCTCAAAACTACTAGTAGGTGTCAAAACGTTCATTCATTGCCCTTATTTCACATTCATTCCAAACCTATTCCATCAAAGGACAGTGACAAGCACTGGAGAGGGATATATCATCGTCCTGATTTTCAAGGAGCTTAGTATCAAGGGCGGAAAAAGGGGTACATAATAGTCAATGACAGTGCCAGGCTGAAACCACTGCACAGCCACCAGAATAGCTAAATAGAAAAGGTCAACAAAGACATGGAGCAACTGGAATACTCATTGTTGGTGGGAGTATAAACCGTACAATTTTGGAAAAAAGCCTGGCAGTTTCATAAAATTAACATTTATCTCTTACAACCCAGCAATTTCATTTCAAAGTTTTTACCCAGGAGAAATGAAAACATGTCTACAAAGAGATTTGTATAACAATGTTCACAGGAGCTTTACTGATGGTAGCCCACAATTAGAACTAGATCAGATACCCATCAATACAATGGAGAAGCAAAATGTGGTATATTTACGCAGTGAAAAACTATTCAGCATTAAAAAAATAATTCAGGCTCTCTGCTCCTCCTGTTGGTCAGACAGCCTTTCCTCCTGCGCTGTGCCAGCAGCCACAACCCTGACACACGATGGTGAAGGTTGGAGTGAACGGATTTGGCCGCATTGGGCGCCTGGTCACCAGGGCTGCTTTTAACTCTGGCAAAGTGGATATTTTCGCCATCAATGACCCCTTCATTGACCTCAACTACATGGTGTACATGTTCCAGTAGGATTCTACTCATGGCAAGTTCAAAGGCACAGTCAAGGCTGAGAACGGGAAGCTTGTCATCAATGGAAAGTCCATCTCCATCTTCCAGGAGCGAGATCCCGCCAACATCAAATGGGGTGATGCTGGTGCTGAGTATGTTGTGGAGCCCACCGGTGTCTTCACTACCATGGAGAAGGCTGGGGCTCACTTGAAGGGCGGAGCCAAGAGGGTCATCATTTCCGCCCCTTCTGCGGATGCCCCCATGTTTGTGATGGGTGTGAACCATGACAAGTATGACAACTCCCTCAAGATTGTCAGCAATGACTCTTGCACCACCAACTGCTTGCCCCCCTGGCCAAGGTCATCCAAACAACTTTCGCATCGTGGAGGGACTCATGACCACAGTCCATGCCATCACTGCCCCCCAGAAGACCATGGATGGCCCCTCTGGGAAGCTGTGGCGTGATGGCCGAGGGGCTGCCCAGAACATCATCCCTGCTTCTACTGGCGCTGCTAAGGCTGTGGGCAAGGTCATCCCTGAGCTGAATGGGAAGCTCACGGGCATAGCCTTCCGTGTCCCCACCCCCAATGTGTCGGTTGTGGATCTGACCTGCCGCCTGGAGAAAGCTGCCAAATACGATGATATCAAGAAGGTAGTGAAGCAGGCATCAGAGGGCCCCTCAAAGGCATCCTGGGCTGTACTGAGGACGAGGTGGTCTCCTGCGACTTTAACAGTGATACCCACTCCTCCACCTTTGATGCTGGGGCTGGCATTGCCCTCAATGACCACTCTGTCAAGCTCGTTTCCTGGTATGACAATGAATATGGCTACAGCAACAGGTTGGTGAACCTTATGGTCCACATGGCCACCAAGGAGTAAGAGTCCCCTGGACCACCAGCCCCAGCAAGAGGAAGAGAGGCCCTCGGCTGCTGGGGAGTCCTTGCCCCAGACCGGTCCCCCGACACACTGAGAATCTCCTAACCACCGTTTCCATCCCAGACCCCCTGGAGAAGGGGAGGGGCATAGGGAGCCCTACTTTGTTGTGCACCATCAATAAAGTTCACTGTACCCAGCCAAAAATAATAATAATTCATTGAGCACTAGCCAGTTTGGCTCAGTGGTGAGAGTGTCGGCTCTATGACTAAAAGGGTCTCGGGTTCAATTCTGGTCAAGGACATGTGCCTCAGTTGCGGGCTCTATCCCCAGCCCCGGTCAGGGCATGTGGGGGAAGCAACCAATCCAGGTGTCTCTCTCCCATCAATGTTTCTCTCTCAGTCTCTCTCCCCCTCCCTTCCACTCTCTCTAAAAATCAATGGAGAAAATATCCTCGGTGAGCATTAACAAAATAATAATAATAACTCATTGGGATTACATATACAGCAATATGGAAGTTCTCCAACTTCAGATCAAATACAGATTGCTACTCCCCCTTACCAGAGTTTCTGATTCAGTAAGTCCTGGGTGGGAGTCATCAGCACCCCTTTAGCCCCTGAGAATGTACATTTCTAACCAGTTCCCAATGCTCCTGACACTACTGGTCTGAGGACCACACTTTGAGGACTACTGTGCTGAACAAGAACTGCCTGATTATGGCCCTGTTTAAGTTAATTTGGCTTATACGTACATCATAAAAACAGCAACTTTTAGAACCAGAGCTCCATCCTTTCTGCTGGGTTGCAGCCAGGTTGAAAAGTTTATATCTAGTGAATGCACAAACTTGAAAGGTGTAAAGTCAAGCCGGAAATAGTAAAAGAAGTATCCATACACGGCAAACAGGTAGGGGTGGCAGAACAAAGGCAACAACTCGGGCTGGCTGGATTCTCCAAGCTATTTCAAAAAAAAGTTCATGCATAGCATAAGCCTCGCCAAAGACTGGAAGTGTTGAAATGACCTGGGTGGGGGATGCCCCTCAATGTAAAATCGAATGCCAGCAAAACCTTTGTGTGAAATGTGAAGGGTATTTGTTTTCATGATATTCTGCTGACTATGCTGGGCAATCTGCTTCCAACACGCCCACTGTAGTTCCTATTAAAGCTCACAGCCAGGAAATCGACCCTGTAGAGAAAGTGGGATTTTAGGCCTAGAAGGGATTTGGGGAAAACAGCACTTCCGATCTTTGGCTGTTTTCACCTTTGGGAGAGTGAGAACATCTTGCTGCGTGCTTGTACACCTCACGAATTCCACCTTTCCTGGGACCACTTTTCGCAAGCTTTACACGACACAGACGTTAAAGGGGTGTGCTCACGGTGCCAGCTTTCCTGATTCAGGCGTGACTATGACTTGGGACAGGCGGCCACACAAACTTGATGGCAAAGGGCGCCCGCGTTCCCGGCGGACAGGCGGGCCCTGGAGGGAGGTGCCACTCGGCTGGCAGAGGCCACAGGCGGCCCCCACAAGCCAGCCCCCGAGTCCCCGAGGAGGCGGGGAGCCCGCGCCGGCTCCCGAGGCGCCCCTGCCCCCGGCCCTTCTCCTACCTCGTGATGAGGGGAGCAGAGCGACCGTGAGTGGAGTCCGGGCGACGCGGAGTTTTGGAGAATCAAAGACCCTGCGCAGGCTGAGCTCCGAGCCTGGTCGTTGCCAAGCGCGTATCCAAGGAAGCCGCTCCCACAGTCCTCCGCGCCAGGGCCGGGGCGGGAGGAGAGGAGCGCGCGTTGGGCGGTTCCGGAACGGAGAAAGGGGCGGAGCCTGAGAGGCTGAGGTCAAAGAGGACGGAGGCGGGGTCACGAGTGGAGGGGCACCGCGGAGGGGGCCCTGGAGGGCGGCCTCTAGTGAGAAGGAGAGGAAGCCAAAATCTTGTCAATCCTCCTGAAATCAGCCAGAAAACAGAATAGTAAAGAATGTCACTAAGTAACTATGAACTACCAGCCACTACTTTTAATATGTGAGCCTTTGCATACCGTTTTCCGGGTGATCACCGACATTTGGTCACCCTATAAAATTACTCTCCAGAGACATCTATGGGTCTGGGAGGGCTCAGCTTCTCTTCCCTTTTCTTTTGTTTGCATTACCTGTTCCCACAACCACCCTGTGCACACCTTCATCAGAGCCCTTCACGTACTCCTGTCTGGTGAGTGCCTTAAAAGGCAGGACTGAAACTGTCCCAAGCACCTAGAACCAACTTCAGAGTAAAGCTGAAGAAATGCAAAATGAATGAGATTAAATTCATAATTGCTTAATAAAATTAAAATGGAGGGAGGGCAGGGGGAGTCTAAAGACACAGTAATTAATGAGTTTTAAACATTAAGTACATGTTGGGATACAATTCTCCACGAGTGTCTCTTGCTTTTGTTCTGGACTATTGTAATGGTTAATTTAATGTCAGCTGGACTAGTTAATAGTACCTAGTTTTCTTTCAAACACCTGTCTAGATGATGCTCTAAGGATATTTTGTTAGGTGTGATTGATTAGCAGTTAGAACAGTAGACTTTGAGTAAAGCAGATTACCTCCATACTGTGGGTGGGCCTCATCCAATCAGTTGAAGGACTTCAGAGTAAAGACTGATGTCCCGAAAGGAAAAAGGAATGCTGCCTCCAGATTTGAAGGGCACCATCAGCTCTTCCCTGGCTCACCAGTCTACCCTGTCAATTTTGGACGTGGCAGCCCCACAATTGCATGAGCCAATTCCTTAAAATACCCCTCTCTCTCTCACTCCAACAATTTTTCAAGGCTGTTTGCATAGGGACAAGCTTTGGAAGATTGAGGTAGTTGTCTCCTTCCAATGAAGAAGGCAGGTTTGTGGCTGTCCAGTATATTAAAGACCATCTCCCTCTGGGGCAAAGGCTGGGCATTTAGGCTTATTATTCATGATAAAAGATTGAAGTTTTCTAAGTTTGTGGCTCCTCAGTTGTGACACAAACCCATTGTATGTGCAGTAGCCCCATGGGACTTGGGAGGCAGGGGGAACTGAAGGGAATAGAATATTCAGGCTCCTGTCTGTGACCCAGTACTTTCTACCATCGTTCATGAAACTGTGTTAGCTTGGAAATAGGATAAAATCATACACAGTTCTTGATAGTATCTATCTACAGTGACTAGCTCAACACAAATGTTCACTAGATATTTTTAAATTAATTAATGAACACTATAGAGCCCTTCACATCACTGCACTTCAATATATAGAAACAATTTTTGTTAATCTCTTTAGGTCTCCAGACTATAAATTTCTAACTCCCTCAAAAATATTTTTTTATTGGAAACAAATTCAAGTTTCTTTAAGCTTGGTTGCTCTTTAACTGTGATGCAATTCCTTGCTCGAAAAGTGGTTAATCTCTCCTTCATTTTATTTCATTTGTATTATTTTTTTATCCTTATCTGAGGATATGTTTTATTTATTTGAAAGAGAGAGACATAGAGAGAGAAAAACATCGATCAGTTGCCTCCTGTATGCTCCCAAACCAGGGATAAAATCCTCAACCTTTGGTGTACGGATGGCACTCCAATCAACTGAGTCACCCGGCCAGGGCTCTGTCATTTTAAATGTTGTAAGACAGATGCTGTTTATGGAGCACACCCTAAATCGCCAGACAAAATGTTATGTTAGCTGATATTACTAAGACATACCATATGCTCCATAGGGAACAGAGATTTCTGTCTTTTTTGTTCTAAACTCTTTCCCCAGTGCCTAGAAAACTTCCTGAAACTAGGTGGCTTTCAATAATTATTTATTGAACAAAATGTCAGGGCATGTAATTCATCACGGGTAGAGGTGGTGGTGAATGGAAGCAAGAAGAAACACGAACCCCAGTTTGGCATAAGCTGGAGCCGTTTATTAACATGGAGAACCCAGAGGAGAAGCAGGTTTGGGAGAGAAAATACATTTAGTTTTAAACATATTGGGTTTCAGACACCCATAAAATAGGCAAATAGAGGTGTTGAGTAGGTGATTGCATAGAAGGATGTAAAGCTGAGAAGTGATTCCTCCTGCAGACAGACATTTGGGATTCACTGGTCCCTAAAATCGATGGCCTCGAAGCCTGGGGGAGTGTGAGCTTGCTGCAGGAGAGCACGATGTCGAGGCACAACGAAAGGGAGCCCAGAACCGAGCCTTAGGAACCAGGGGGCTTTAGGAAAGGTGAGACCAGACTGCTGACTGGAGTGACATGCTCTGGGTGGTGACCAAGGAAAACAGGGTTGTGAGAGGGTGTGGATGTAGACCTGACAGCCTCGGGGAGGGTTTGGGCACATGGGTCTAACAGAATTCTGTTATAGCCTGAAACAGGGGTTTAGTGGTTCTGGCAAGAGATGCAATATTTCCTCAATTCATGGTCAGCTATTGACAATAGCTTTAGGTTATCTGCAGGGGCTGGTGCCAGGGGCTAGTGAGCACTCACCCTGTGGACATTTATTCAGTGGTGGAGGATGGGCATGTTCTGTCTGCTTTTCTACACTGGGGTTTAGGATCAGTATTCTCTTAAGGTCTCACTTGTTTGTCGTTCCTCAGTAATTTAATCTAGCCTGCCACCTCTCTCTGTCCCCCTAGCACAGGGGCAAGGAACCTTCTTTCTGCCAAGGGCCATTTGGATATTTATACCAGTAATATCACTAGAGGTCCGGTGCACGAAATCCGTGAACCTGGGGGGTTGTCCCTCAGCTTGGCCTTTGCCCTCTCACAGTCCAGGACCCCTCAGGGGATGCCCGCCTGCCCACGGGCCTAAGCTGGAAGTCAGACATCCCTCTCGCAATCTGGGACCCCTCGCTCCTTACCACCCGCCTGCTCGCTTCTCCTTACCACTCGGCTTGCTGCTCCTTAGCACTGCTGCGGAGGCCAGAGAGGCTCCTGCCACCACAGCTGTGCTCACCAGCCCTGAGCCCAACTTCTGTCTGAGCAGCGCTCCCCCTGTGGGAGCATACTGACCACCAGGGGGCAGCTCCTGCGTTAAGTGTCTGCCCCCTGGTGGTCAGTGTGCATCATAGCAACCGGTCATTCTAGTTGTTCCGCCTTAACGGTTGCTTATGCTTTTATTATATAGATTCTCAGGCCATACAAATTTATCAACTTAAAAATTAGCCTACTATATTTGGTCAAGCATTTTATTAACTCACCCCTAATGCCTTGGCAGGGCCAGACCAAATGATTTTGCAGGCCAGGGCCAGGCCTTCCCCACCCATGTCCTCGCACCTGGAGGGTCTACGTAACCATGTTCTCTTTCCTTTCTGGTTACCATAACACCCTAACTTTCCCCACTGCTTCCTCTCTACGTCTTCATCTTCCACCCGACATCTTCCATCTTGTTCCCATTCTATCTGTTCTTTATGCTGTATACAAAGTAATTATCCTTAAGTGAAAATCTGATCACATTATTCTCTGCTCAGAACCTTGTGGTGTTCTCTCTCTCTACTCTGCCCTGACCTCTGGACAAACTAAACTCTGTAATGTAGCTCATAAGGCCCTTCGCAGTCCCAGTGCTTAGCATTCTTTGTTGCTGCCAAGAAAAACAAATTCTTGCCAACTTAAGCAGGAAAGGATTACATATATATGGAGAGAGGGAGAGAGAGAGAGAGAGTGAGAGAGAGAGAGAGAGAGAGAGAGAGAGATCAGGTAACTGAGAATTGTCAGAAAGTCTAGGGAACAAGGCTTGGGAAAAATAACAGATTAGGGAAGTAAGGCACAGCCAAAGTTGTACCACAAGGAACAATCTGCCTAATTTATGGAGACCTACCTTCCCGATTGCTCAGGACTCAGGGAGATCCCATCATGTGATATTTTCACTTGTACAACGAGGAAAATCCCAGGCTAACCAGGACAGTTGGTCACTCTACTTAGTCTGCTGCTGTAGGCATCTGCCATCTTGATACCTTAATACCTGCCATTCACTTGTCACCTGCCATCTTGACATTAGACATGTGCTTTGCTAAACTTTTTCCCACCATTCTGGGGATCCTCCTAAAGTACAAAGGCTGTTAAGCTGTTGAACAGCCAAAAATACAAGTGGTGTCTATGACCCCTCCCCTCCTTTGCCCTCCTCACCTGCTCATTTTGCCCCAGCCATGCTTCTTTCAAGCCCCTGGAAGGCATCATGGCCTCACTCATCCCTCAGCCTTCATGTGTGCTATTCTCTCTTTCAGAAATGTCTTTCCTTCTGTTCTCTTAGTCTGGCCACCCCTTTCTGTAGAAGGCTTTCCCTAATTCCTGGCGCATTAGTTTACTGGACCTGCCAAAGCAAAATACCACAGACTAGGTGGCTTAAACAACAGAAATTTATTTTCTCAGTTCTGGGGGTTGGAAGTCTGAGATCAAGGTGTTGGCAGGATTGATTTTCTCAGAGGCCTCTCTCCATGGTTTGCAGATGACCCCTCTCTTACTGCCTCTTCACATATTCATCCCTCTGTAGCTGGCAACCCTAGTGTCTATCTGTGTCTCCTAATCTTCTCTTCTTATAAGGACAACAGTCAGATTGAATAAGGCCCACCCTAAGAGCCTCATTTTAATTCAATCACCTCTGTAAAGCCCCATCTCCAAATATAGTCACATTCTGAAGTACTGGAGGTTAGGGCTTCAACATATGAATTTTGGAGGCTATGATTCAGTTCATAACACTGGTTTATGTTAGGTCCTGAGAATGTCTATAGCATGTTGATCTTCCACTATCAGAGCATGTAACACAATTTTATAGTTAGTATCTATTCATACAAGTTTACCCAAGTAGACCACATGGATTCCTACCCCAGC